TATGTTCCTAATAATATAACCTCAAAAAAACAAAACACTAAAACAAAAATTGACAGAACTAAAATAGAAATAACTCCACAATCATGGTGAGATATCTTAATAATCTTCCTTGAGTAACTGATAAAACAACCAGTTAAAAAAATCAGTAAGGATATAGAAGAATTGAATAACATGATTAACAGTCTTAACCTAATTGATACATTAGAACGTCATACCCAAAACAGCAGAACACATTCTTTCAAGCATATAGAACATTTACCAAAATTGACCATTTGTTGGGGCATAAAGCAACTCTGAACAGATTTCAAAAACTGAAATCCTACAGAGTATATGCTCATATGATGGTAAAATTGAGCTAGAAATCAATAACAAACATAATCAAATCCCAGAACATACAGACGGTATGAAATACACTTCTAAATAACCCATAGGTCAAAGAAGCCACAATATCATAAAATATGTTGAACAAAATTATAATTAAAATATGTTAAAAATCTTGTGAGAGCCTGGCCGGTGTGGCTCAGTGGACTCTTGTCCCATGGACTGAGAGGTCCCGGTTCTATCAGGGCACATGCCCGGGTTATGGGCTCGATCCCCAGTAGGGGTGCGCAGGAGGCAGCCGATGGATGTTTCTCTTTCACATCGATGTTTCTATCTCTTTCTCCCTTCCTCTCTCTCTCTAAAAAATCAATTTTAAAAAATGTTTTAAAAAATCTTGTGAGATGCAGCTGAAATGTGGCTTAGGTGGAGTCTGCCTTAATGCATAAATTGGAAAAGAAGAAATACTGAAAATAAATTATCCAAGTACCATCTCAAAAAATTTTTTACATAACAAATTAAATGTAAAGAAAATGGAGGAAAGAGAATAATAAAGTTAAGGCCAGAAATTGATAAGAGAAATAGCCTAAAATACAGATAATCAACAAAGTCTAAGTTGGTTCTTTGAAAAAACTAAGAAAATCAATTACCTCTTGTTGTAAGCATTGGCTGCCCCCTTCTTGCCCTTGGATGACAGGAGTCATTGCTTTTGGAAGGTTATGCACCCTCCCCCAGTGCCGTAACCCCAGGGATGGCAGAAACAACTATCCCCTTTCCTCAGCCCTTAGAGTCCCAGTCAATCAGGCCAAAGCTAGATTTCACCTGCGGTCACACCTTATTCTATCCTTTTCCTTCCTCATCCTACAGCCCTCATTCAAATGACCTTGCAGGTTTTTCCTGAAGAGTACTCTTTCAATAAATCACACACACCAAATCCCTGCCATGGGCTCAGCTAGGAGAACCTGGTCTAATCCTGAAGTTAAGAACATCTAAGTAATAATTAATTTTTAAAATAAATTTCTAAATACCATATTCCTAAACTGGAAGACTCATTATAGAACGCTATCAACCACCCCCACCCCCAAATTGACCTATATCTCCAAAGTAATCCCAGTTAACACCCCAGAAAGTTTGTTGTTGTTGTTTTTAGAAATTGACAAGTATATCCCAAAATGTATGTGGACATGCAAAGGGTCAAACATGGTCAAGATGGTCTTGAGTAAGAAGAACAAAGCTGAAGAATGTAGCCAGATATCAAGACATATTATAAAGCTACATTAAGAGACTGTAGTATTCATATGAGCATGGACAAAGAGACATAGGAAAGAAATGAGAATCTACCAACAGATCCATACATACATATATATATAGAGAGAGAGACGCTGATATATACAAACATCGGCACTGCAGATGATGGAGAAGGTCCATTTAGTAAATGGTACTGGGCCAATTGGATAGCCAAGTGGACTTCTACATCCTACATATGCAAAAATAGACCTAAGATATGGCTCTAAATGTAAAAGGTAAAACAATGTCTAGAAGATAGCACAGAAGAGTATCTTCATAATCTTTGGGTAAACAGAGTTTTAATATACAGGGTACTTTTATTTAAAACGTATTAAAAATGTTGGTAAGCTGGTTCACATGAAATTTAGAAACATCTCTTCATTAGGAGATGCCATGAAGGGAGAAAAAAAGCAAAACAAATATCTTTTTAAAAGCAAAAAAAAAAAAAATGCCCTGGCCGGTTTGGCTCAGCAGTTAGAGCGTCCACCTGCGGTCCAGAGAGACCCAGGTTCGGTTCCCGCTAAGGGCATGTACCTCGGTTGCAGTTTGTCCCCGACCGTGGTTGGTCGTGTGGGTGACAGCCACTCGATGTGTCCCTTTCACATTGATGTTGCTCTCTCTCTCTCTTCCTCTCTCTCCCTCCCACTCTATCGGTATGAAAAAATGTCCTCAGGTGAGAATAAAAATAAATAAATAAATAAATAAAAGCAAAAAAAAATAGACTATATTTGAAAAACAAATAAGTTTTAATGAATTACCCTGTGAAGAACTTCTACAAAGACAACTCAATTTTAAAATAAACAAAAGACATGAATGAGTATCTCACAAGAGATGATATCTAAATGGCTAATAAGCATATGAAAAAAAATGCCTAGCTTCATTAGTCATCAAATGCAAATTAAAACCACAATGAGATATTAATGTGAGGGCAAGGATATGAAGCACTTGGAACTCTCTTGTACAGTAAGTGGGAAAGTAAGTGGAAGAGTCACCTTAGAAAACTGCTTGGCACTATAACTACTGAAGCTGGACATACACATACCTTACAGCCAGCAATTCTACTCCTAAGGTATACTCCATTGAAATATGTACACAAGTTTAGACAATACATAATCAAGAACATTTATAACAACGATGTTATTAATTACTCCAAATAGCAACTCAGATGTTCACAAACAATAGACTATGCCAATAAATTGTAGTATATTTTACAATGAAATACTATATAACAAAGAGAATTATCAAACTACATCTATACATCATGGACAAAATCCTACAAATATATGTTGGGTGAAAAAATAGAACACATCCTATATGATTCTCATATATTAAGTTCAAAAACAAAACTATACTGGCTAGAGATGCTCACACGGGTGGTCACACTATAAAAAAGATATGTGGCTGACACTCATAGGACTGAAAATGATAAGTGTGATTACCATAAAATTCAGGCTAAGGCTTACAGCTAAAATGAGGTTAATTGAATTAGAAAGTAACATATAGATGAGACTTCTGGTAATGCTAACTTCTTGTCTTAAGTGTTGGTTACATTTTTTAAATTGATTTTTAGAAAGAGAGAGAGAGAAACATCAATCCATTGCCTCCTAAATATGCCCCCAACCAGGGATAAAACCTGCAACCTAGGCATATGCCCTGATCGGGAATCGAACCCACCACCTTTCATTGTGCGGGATGACACTCCAACCAGCTGAGCCGTACCAGCCAGGGTGGTGTGGATTACATTTTGACTTTGGTGTTCAGTTTATAATTACTTGTTAAATCAAGTATTTTCTCTATTATGTTAACTTTCAAAATTATAACATTTTGAAAATTATAACAAAATTATAAAAGAAACAAAAGTAAATAGGAAGATTGTATCTGAATTGTTAAATACCTACACATTAGTGAATTTGTTAGTAATTACTTAGAGTAATATAACAGATGATCAATTAATGGTTATCGTAAAATGAATATTCAGTTGTCTAGAATTCAATGAAAATGTTGTATTTGTTAAATCTTAAATTACTCAGCATTCAGTATTTTAGACTGTAAAGCAATTCCTGTATTGAGCTGAAGCTTAGACAGTACAGGCATTTTCAAGATTTTGTGATTCTGTGAACTAGGTGTCCCAGAAGTAATGAGCTGCTTTTCCCTGTAACGGTGAAGCAAATTCCAGGAAGTTCTAAGATGATTTATTGTACAAAAGATTCCAAAGTAGACAGTTGGATACAAGTGGCCCTATGATGCCTTTTGACATCAGACAATTTACATTTGGGGGCCAAATATTCCTTCTAAGAATCTCTCCCATGTCTGTCTGTCTGTCTTTCCCCCTACCCCCCCTCCTCCCTTTCTCCCTCACTCCTACTCATTTGCCAACATTTATATGGATGAATGACTATGAGCAATCGAGCACTGGACTTGAACTAAAACTATAAAATTAGGATAAGCTACACAACAGATAAAAAAAAAAAAAACATCTTGTCACTCAAATCTGTATACCTTATCTTCTTGGAAAGATTGTCTCCTCTACATGGGATACAGTATAAAATCATTCAGAGCTTCCTTGAATTGTCTAGAGGTGTTCTTATCATAAAATTTTGAAAGATATATGGCTGACTGTCATAGAACTAAAAACGACACATGAGAGGTTTGTTTTCAAGCTAACTTATCTATCAAAAAATCATAGAAGAGCCCAGCCAGGGTGGCTCAGTGGACTGAGCGTTGGCCCATGGACTGAGAGGTCCTAGTTCAATTTCCGGTCAGGGCACGTGCCCTTGTTGCAGGCTCGATCCCCAGTAGGGGGCGTGCAGGAGACAGCTGATTGATGTTTCTATCTCTCTCTCTTCTTCTGTCTCTAAAAATATCAATAAAAGCATATATATATTTTTTTTCATCCTCACCCAGGACATTTTTCTATTTTTTGTTCAGATAGAGTGGGAGGGAGAGAGAGGGAAGGAGAGAGAGAGAGAAACATCCACGTGAAAAGGGACACATCGAGTGGCTGCCACCCACATGACCAACCAGGGCCGGGAACAAACCTCAACTGAGGCTCGTGCCCTTAGCAGGAACCGAACCCGGGTCTCTCTGGACCGCAGGCTGACGCTCTAACCGCTGAGCCAAACCGGCCAGGGCAAAAGCATATCTTTTTAAATCATAAAAGACAAGAGGTAAAATTTTGACTCTTAATAAGCCACTCAATCTATTAGAAGAAAACAAAGGACAACCAAATCGAAAAGCCAGCATGCCCTCCTTTACTTGCAACTGGCTAATAACCAGTCTCCAGTTAGAATAACTTAGAAATATATAAAACTAATTAAGAAAAGGAATGTGGTTAATAAACATAACTGTGGTTAGGAAACACCTGGACATCTTGTGAAGCTGAGTAAGAGACTCACCTTTAACAAGGGATAATTGATACTTGCAGTCCACATGTTGGTAAATGGAGCTTCCAGAACAATAGCATCAACTGGGCATCCTTGAAAATAATAAAAAAGAAATAACTCCCCTATCATATCTAAATATCACCTTCCCTAAATAAGGGGTACTCAAGTTCTTGTACATGAACTATCCACATCAAAATCATTTGTGAAGCTTATTAATAATGCAAATTCCTGTTATTAATAATGCAAATTCCTGGACCCCCCCACCAGACTTACTGAGCCAGAAGTCAGGGGGCTGGAGGTATGAGAATGTGCATTTTTAACAAGTTTCCCCACCCAACCAACCAAGAGATTTCCATGCACATGGTAGTTATAAACTACTACCTTCTTCTAAAACACAACCAGATTTTGAAGGCTTGCATAACTTAAGCAAAGTACTATGGGAAGAAAAACTGTTCTGTAGCCCATTATTAAGAATGTGCCAGAGGCTGACTAGATTGTTCTGGCCAATACTTCTCAGAGAACAATTAGAAAATGTGTGTCAGACGAGGAGGATACGTTATGTGTATGTGTATATATATGGTTTAAAGCACTTAAGAGCTGCTAAATCAGTGAGATTTTGTAAAGCCAAGACCAAAAGAAAATCTCAACAACAGTCAGAGGAAAAAGTAAGCACTGTCTTCAAAGGAGCATCAGTAAGACTGGCAGCTGACTTCCTAATAAAATAGTGGAAGCCAGAACAAAGTGTTGAAATAAAATGATTTCCAACCTAGAATCCTATGCCCAGTGACAATATCCTTCAAAAATGAAGATGAAATAAAGACATTTTCAGGCCAAAACTGAGAATTTTTCACCAATACACAGGCAGAACAAAAATCCCAGATAAAAACAGACATGCTGAAACTAATAAAGAGCAAAGAAAAGATTAAATCTAAATATTGATTTTTATAATATAAGAATAGCAATGTTGCCCTGGCTGTTTGCTCAGTGGTTAGAGCACTGGCCTTCGGACCCAGGGGACATAGGTTTGATTCCCAATCAACGGCAAGTACCTAGGTTGCAGGTTTGATACCCAGCCCTGTTAGGGGTTGTGAGGGAGGCAACCAATCGATGTGTCTCTCTCACCACATCTCTCCCCCTCCCCTCTTTCACTCTATCTAAAAATCAATGGGAAAATATCCTCAGTTGAGGATTAACAAAAAAAGAAGCAGCAGCAGAATGTTTTATGCAGTGTGTATAGAGAAAATTAAAACACATGATAGCAAGAGTTCAGAAGTGAGGATGTAAATGGAATCATTGTTCCAGGGTCAGTGCATTATCTAGGAAGCGAAGTGTTCATTTATGTGAGAATTGAGTTCAGGTAATATAGCAGAGTCAACACTGTGAAGAGGTGGCAGAGAGACATGAGAGCTTAGAGGAGCATTGAAATAATGTTCAGTTTATTTACATAAGCAATTAAGATTGTGAATAGCAGGTGACTTGCTTTAAAATGTTTACGTAACTCAGCCCGACCTGTATGGCAAGTAAAGTTTAAGATACGATGCAAGAGATGACACACTTTTAATGCACATCAAAATCGCCTTGTCCTATTCACAGAGATTCCAACTTACAAAAATAGATCCAGGAGAACTGTGTTTTAAAAAAGCGCCCCCAGGAGATTCTGTTACAAGCAGTCCTCAGCACATTTTGAGGAATGCTGACATACGTATTATGTAAGGAGGGCTGCAGAAACCCTGTCTGTTATTTCATGTGTATTATTTTCCTCTTCTATTATCCAAATTAATCCATCATAACTATTATCATTTCACAGTGAGGGCTCTTTCAAAGGTAGTTTTAAGTCTCAGTATGTATTTTTAATTTCACACTCTTAAAAAACAGCTATTGCTTTATATTAAGTAGAGAGAAAAGAAAGTTTGCTACATTCTCAGAAGCTGCCTAATGTTAGGGTGCTTTAGGTATCTCTGTGTTCAAAGTCTGCACAATAGTCTTGACTGTTTTCAGTTTCCCACCTCAAGTCAGGAAATTATACCACGTAAGCATCTTATGGTACCTTTCTCCTCCAGTACTCTTGCAGCATTTGTTACAACTCTGTAAAGCAATGAAAATTAGTACATTTGTGAAGTCAAGTAAATGACAGAAAATGCAACCCCCAGTACGAGCCTCTGACGAATGCTCTGGAAGCTCTGGTTAGAAAATGCACATAAACAAAAACTTTGCAAGGGTTTTCACGGAGTCCCACTGATCCTAAATTAAGAATCCTTTTCTTTAAAACTGTCAAGGAGAGTTCTGGAATGGGTTTCAGTGTCACAGTTAACCAGAGAGCTGAACGGACGCTCCCCTGTCTCACACACAGGCACACAGAGGGCCAGGTCTCCAGCCACCCGCGGGAAGTGCTTGTCTCCTAGATCAGTGCTCCATCCAGGGCTCACTGCTGCCTGACGCCCCGCGGACCCGCCTAAGGACCATCTTCCGACCCCACTTACCCTGTCCCCAGAGAGTGGCCCCAGAGGCACACAGGGGTGGTACCACTTCTTGCCTTGGTCCACTCATAGACACAAAGAGCATCCGCAGTCAGTCCCTCCTCCGTGGGCTTCCCTGTGGAGTCCCCGAACCCTGGCAGCAAGGAAAGGCAAACACAGTATCACCACCTCCACAGCGAGAGTCATCAAAAGCCTCCTGCTTCTTGAAAAGTCTTTGTACACTGTTCTTAGCACATACCTCTGTAGTCAACAGACAAGACGTGAAAGCCACCGTCACTCAGCACCTAGATGACAAAGGAGCCGTCACCACTTTAGTTAGAAGATGTAAACAGGAAACGTGGTATAACCCTAGTTGTGACGGTTTCATATGTAGGGAAAAGATGTATGTTTGAAGCTGGTGTTTGACTTCAATCTTGAGATGGTCAGACTCAATGGGAAGGAAGGAACGCAGCATGGCGGAGCGAGTGGGCCAGCCTGGGTCACTGCGGCCCTGCCACTTACCCGCTGTGTGACCTTGGGCAAGCTTACCCTTTAAATATGTAAATATTATTCTGAAAAGTGGAAAACAGTAGTAGATGCCCTCAGGACTGTTGGAAGATTACATGAGATGACATATTAAAATATCTCGCCCTAGCCGGTTTGGCTCAGCGGTTAGAGCGTCGGCCTGCGGTCCTGAGAGGCCCGGGTTCAGTTCCCGCTAAGGGCACGTACCTCGGTTGCAGTTTGTCCCCAGCCCTTGGTCGGTTGTGCAGGTGGCAGCCACTCGATGTGTTCCTTTCACATCGATGTTTCTCTCTCTCTCTCTGTTCCTCTCTCTCCCTCCCACTCTACCTGAACAAAAAATGGAAAAATGTCCTCGGGTGAGGATAAAAAAAAAAAAAAATATCTTGGTACATAGTAAATGTCCTTTTTAAGAAGTCCCTTGAGCCCTGGGTAGTTTGCTCAGTGGTTAGAGCAGTTCCCGCTAAGGGCACGTACCTCAATTGCGGTTTGTCCCCAGCCCTGGTTGGGGTCATCTGGGTGGCAATCACTAGATGTGTCTCTCTCATGTTGATGTTTCTCTCTCTTTCTTCCTCCCTCTCCCCTCCCACTCTGTCTGAAGATAAATGCAAAAATGTCCTCAGGTGAGGATAAAAATAAATAAATAAACAAACAAACTTAAAAGAAGAAGTCCCCTGAGAATAAGAACTCTACACAGTTGCAGTGGAGGCAACCAAATAGCAGGGAGGTCATCGTATTAAATATAAACAGATAAGAGTTACTATCAATCAAAAATAATGAGGTCACTGGATTATATCAAACCACTGTCAAGACCCATGTAGATAAGTGAGGAAAGAATATAAAAACATAACTTTAAATTAAATGAATTACAAAGATAGTATTTTCCCCATTTAACAGATAGAGAAATTGAGCCTTATAGAGTTTAAGTAATCTGTTCACGGTGGGTCACCCAAATGTCTAGGGGCAGAACCGAGATTCACACCCGGGCTTGCATATATCCAAATACTGTGCTTCTTCTCCCACAGAATGGATGTGAGTGGCTGAATCTCATCAGAAATTTTTAAATCCAAACTGAATAATGAGAAAATAAATGTAACATTTTTTTTCCTTACCCGAGGACATTTTTGCATTTATTTTCAGATAGAGCGGGAGGGAGAGTGGGAGGGCAGAAGAGAGAGAGAGAAACATCGATGTGAGAGAGACACATCGAGTGGCTGCCACCCACACGACCCCAACCGGGACCGGGGACAGAGGTACGTGCCCTTAGCAGTAACCAAACCCAGGTCTCTCTGGTCCGCGGGCCAACGCTCTAACCACTGAGCAAACCGGCCAGAGCTAAATGCAACTTTTTAATATCTATCTAAACTACATCCCCTCCAAAAAAGTTATGTAAGAAGCAGGGCCGTGACGCATCCAGGGAAATGCGAATGTCCACGTGTTATTTCTGACCCTGTGAATTGAAGGAACACTTGACAACACATCTCAAGAACAACAGCAGCAAGAGATGCTAAGAATTTATCTCTAGGAAAAAATTCCCAAAGAAGAAACTAAATGCCTAAAGTTTTCTGTAGCAATTCTATTTCAAAGTAATCACCTATAGAAACAAGAAAATGAAGAGCTAAGGAAGTGTGGTCAGCTGGGAGCTGATGACTGTGTTCTCAGTCTCCAGCATCTGCCCGGGGGAAGAAGTCTTCTCATACCTTCCCACCCACCCAACTACCACAAGGATGACCTGGCCCCTTCCGATACCTCCACCTCTGGCTCTTCTCCTTTCTGTGCACACAGAGGACATAAATTCAGCTCTGCCAAGAGTGGGAGGAGAAAAAAATTCACGTGTTCTCACAGACATGAGCTGCAGCACCATCCATGTGGGAAGAACAGAGCGGGGGTGCAGGATGGAAAGCAGACCTCACAATGAATAGGCATCACCATCCCCCGCAAGCTGTGTCCTGCCCACCACCACTCACCAGAGTCAGCCCGAGGAGTGAGGGAGAGGCGCTCCCTGTCTGGACAGAGGGGGCAGGAGGAAGGAGCTGGGGATTCCAGGCCTGGCAGGGTTCCAGGCCCCACTAACACTGTCAGGTCAGGAAAGAGCCGGGGTGGGAGCTGGCACGTGAGAGGAGAGATTTGGTCCTGTGGTCAGTAACTGGACAAGCTACCTGGTCACCTGCACCAAAAATGACCCAGCTGGAGCACCGCAGAGGATAAGCAGATCACTGCCTGAGCAGCTGGGCACAGCTGGGCGTCAGAAGGCGGGGCCGCGCCTGGAAAGCCTGCCGGCTCCCCACGTCTGGGAATGCAGGGGCTGCCCCGCAGGCTGAAGTCATGAGCAGGTTCCAGCACAGCCAAGGGCGGCTGCCATCCCACCCTGCAAACCCCGTGTGGAGCCAAAACCACGGCCTGAATGACCTTTAAAAACAGACATTCTGTCTTTATCCTACTTCACAAATAACGTTGTTTCTTGTAGGAGTGACTTTTGCACTTAATATATTCTCTCAACGCCCACCTCACCCCACCCCACCCCCAACCCTCAGAAAAGGCAAATGAGCCCTGGCCAGTTGCTCAGCGGTTAGAGCGTCAACCCGCGGACCAGAGAGACCCGGGTTCGGTTCCCGCTGAGGGCACGTCCCTCGGTTGCGGTTTGTCCCTGATCCTGGTTGGGGTCGTGTGGGTGGCAGCCAGTCAATGTGTCGCTCTCACATTGATGTTTCTCTCTCTCTCTCTTCCCCCTTCTCTCCCTCCCGCTCTATCTGAAGATAAAAGCAAAAATAAATGTCCTCAGTGAGGATTAAAAAAAAAAGAAAAGGCAAATAAACCTGTCTTCCACTCCATCTGCTAATGAAGGCAATGGACTAATGAAAGTGTCTTGGGACTCCGAGATAGTCACATCTATTTTGATTCCCCCATGGTCAAGGCAGGAAGAAAAGTCTACTCTTAGGACTTGGGCCCCAGACACCACCCGACTCTGGGGAGCTCTCAGTAGATAACCCTGCCGAGGGCTGAGGAAGAGCTCATGGCCGCAGCCCAGAACAGAAGACACGGAGACATAGGTACGGCCCCTCCGACATACCTGTACTAGATTAATCCTGTGAGGAGCTGCCCTGTAGAAAAGGTTAAAAAAAAAAAAAAAAAAGAGCAAGATTCAGGAATTGGGATGACAAATTCGATAAAAGTCACCATCATGCTGCTGGCATCTGATCCCACACCTTTCTTTTTGGGTTAGAAGTGGATGTGTCCGGGCGGGTGACTGACAGCCCCCTGCTGCGGCTGGGTTCCTCTGACTGCCGGCCCTGGGTCTCTGCTTCTCGTCACAGCACTTGATGAATAAGCATCTGCACCCATCTCCTTACACCTCTACACAGCAAAACGTCATTTCTAAGAATACTTCTTTTTTTAATCCTCACCTGAGGATATTTTTCCATTGATTTTTTTAGATAGAGTAGAAGGGAGGTAAGGAGGGAGGGAGAGAGAAAGGGAGAGAGAAACATCGATGTGAGAGAGACACACTGATTGGTTGACTCCCACAGGACCCTGACTGTGGCTGGGGATCAAACCTGCAACCCTAGTAGGTGCCCTTGACCAGAAATCGAATCTGAGACCCTTCAGTCCGAGGGCCATTGCTCTAACACTGAGCCAAACTGGCCAGGGCCTAAGAATACTCTTTTGAAGCTAAAGGAAAATAAGTTCCAGAAAGTGGTTTTTTAGAGCAAAGGATGATATAGTCATGTTCCCTACACTAAGGTCTGCCTGGACCCCGTCTACTCTGCCACCAAGTGCAATCTGAGGTCAAGGAGAGGGACTCACAGGCCTGGAAGTACAAGAGACATTTTTTCCCAAAACAACCATATTGCTCCATTAATTACACCAATGAAAGAGGGACAACGATGATTCAAAAGGCAGAGAATTCTTTAACATTTTGTTTTAGGGCCAAGTGTCTTAAACATAAGTGGGTCATGGAGCCCTTTGCACATATGGTTAAGCTATGGACCCATTTCCCAAGGGGGAAAAAAAAGTGTATTTATACTCAGATTTTATGTACAGTTTTGGTGAGGAGGTCATGGCCCCTCTCAGGCTGTCAGGAGTCCCAAGTCTGGGACCGCTGTTTCTAACAAGGAACCCAGTTACCTGCATCTGGCCCCATTTCAGCTCAGTGCTCCGGAGAGCCAGCTGAGGCTCATGGGCCGGGGCCAGGAGGAAGCGGGGGCTGACCCCAGCGCCGGGAAATCTACAGAAACTAAGGGCAATGGCAGGTTCGCACAGCGGGGCAGGCGTGAATGTGTAATCCGCACGATCCTTTAACTAAGCACATCGTAACACTGTGCCGCACTATCAGAACAACATCAAACAACGCTGAAAATGTCCCATTCACGGGCAATCTCTGTACACGTGACTCTAAAGTGGACCCCTGTACATGTGACTCTAAAGTGGACCCCAGGAGAAAGCCCCTTGAGCAAAGGCAAGTCTTGAGAAAGCCATCATCCGATGGAAAAAGACAGTGAGAAAAAGAGACATCAGCAAGGGAGCCCAGAGGCAGATTCCAGATCTTGTCACTTGGTCTGAAGTGTCCCTCCAGAGACAAGCCAGGTCTGTGGGTCTGTGAGGCACACTGCCCCTCCCCCAACCTGAAGAGGCCCAGTCAGAGCTGATAATCATCACCCTCCACCGTAATTACAGGCCCACTGAAGGCTCTGGCAGCGCGTCAAAGGAGACCAGACTTCTGGGAGGCGTCCTTTGTTACAAAGCAAGGCTGGGACCACTGAGTGTAAGCTGAGGCATTAGTATTCTAGGCTAGAATGGGTCAGGTCTGCAGTACCCACGGTCGGAATTCCAGGTGATCTCTCATAGGAAGTCCATGCCACTGATTAAAAGGGCTCATGCTAAATAAAAGAATCTTCATGTCTTTCTGTGAAAAGACCATCGATATGGAAATTGCTCTTCCTGTCCCCATAGCTCATGCCTATTCCCTTTCCAGTCATCCATGGTTCCGTCGTTATTCCAGACACTCCCAGGGTGCAAAGGAACCACTGCTTCCTGGAAACCAGTGTCTAAATTTTGGAAGTTAGTGTTCCTCTCCGGGAAGGATCCGCATTATTCTACATGTAGAATATATGGATTTTTAAAAGAGAAGCCTACCGCTAGAACACCGTCAAATTTCAACAAAGGAAAAGAATACGTGAAATAGTCCAGCAAAGGCACTGACCTGTGCTCTGCACTGCCGTGAAGGTAAACAATAATTGGGTTGCCATCGTGAAGGGCTGCTTCATACCAGCAACGGTCCTTCCCCTTGGCATCTTCCCCCCGGCAGCTGGGAACTGTGTGCCTAAAGAGTAAGGTAAGTTTTTAACCAACATGAACAGACAGAAGAATTCTCTATCCTGGCCAAAGTTGGAAACGTGGCTTATCTCAGTCAGATAGATACATAGGTACACAGATAATGTTTATATAAATATATTTTATATACATGTACATACATGTTTACTAAGTAGTATATACACATGGTAAACATTAAAAGCATCCTATAATGAAAACCACTATAGCTCTGCCTCATCTTCCCCATGCACTGAGACACCCCCTTTTTACTGTTTTAGTTCTTTTGACTCCCACACCTAATAATCTTCTAACTCTGCAGTTCTTAGGTGCAATGCAGCAAAATGCAGTCCTCTGAGTAGAAACAAGTCAAAGATAACAGATATTTGCCACGTGCTATTAGTTTGGCTGAATAGACAGATTGCAAAAATGTAAAGGGAAATCTGTTTAGGTGAGAGAAAAGAATGTTAACATGAAACTAAGCTATTCTACTCAAGAAACACAGTGATGTCATGGTTTTAAACACCTGTCTGAGCTTCAGTTCCTCCACCTTGTTAAACCCATGAATAAACCTTGAAAATATAAACACTGCCATATGACATTTCATAAGGTGACCTGGCCACATGATGATAAGTCTTCAGTCTCCTAGTCGTTTGAGACAGAAAGGCCGGCGTCAAACCCCAGGGCCTCTGTGCTGAGGAGACAAGCTCCATGGCCAGCTAGACAAGCCGCCCAGACAGCTGGCCCATCATACCACGGACCGAGGGGTAAGAGGAAAAAATGAAAAGATTTTCCGATTCCAACATTCTTAGCTGAACTACACCCTGCAGTTTAGGAAGAAGCTATGTGAATTGCATTAGTTCCTAAACATTCTATGATCACATGTTTAAACTCGGGGAGATGAACTGTAAAACAGCACCGGAAAATTGGCAGCCAAGAACAAGTAGTTGAACCAAACAGAAGAAGCTATTGAGATTAGCATAGTAAAAAGGACAACAGAATACTCATGACTTCATTCGGCAAACATTTCTGAGTGCCTTCTCTGTGCCAAGCACTGTGCTAAGCAATGAAAACCCACCAACAAAGTCACCTATGAAAGACATAGTCTTGCAAGGAAGACAAAACACTAACCAAATAATCGCACACACATGTATAGGATTACAGTGGAATAAATACCATCAAAGACAAGCACAGGTTGCCACTAACACAGGCCTAAGGTGGGGATGAGGAGGGGCTTCCCGGAACATTACCAGTCTGAAACCCAAAAGATGGGTCGGCAGTTAGCTGGGCAGAAGGGGAGGACAGAAGGAACAGAGAGAGAAGAATCGCTGCAGACTGAGAGTGTGGCTTGGTATGCAGAGGCCAGTGGGCCTGAGGTGAGTGGAAAGGGTGGTGTGTGATGAGTCTGGAGAAGGACCTTCAGGCCTGATGAAAGACCCGAGGCACAGTGCAACACCTAAAAGTCCTCACTCTTGACTCCAAAGCAAAGTTCCTAAAAAGCTCTTTGAAGCAGGTCAAATGTCAATACAAAGGGAAGGGGTATGGAAGAGCTTCCTGGAGCTCCCAAGGCACACCCACTTCTCCGCAGGGGACGAACACACGCCGCTCAGCCTTGCCCTGGGACACGAGATCAAGTCCATGGGCACCCAGCGTCCCATCAGCGCACTCACCAGATTCCCAGAATCACCCCGGGTTCGACTTTGATATAAAAGTTCACGGTGTGAGGCAACTTTAACTCCGGTCTCTTTAAATCCACGAGGAATGGCGCTTTGACTGGAATGTAGAAATCATTATCAACTCCCAGAATCAAATTCCAGGTTTTTAATCACAATCAAAAACAGTAATTAGCCTCGTGGTTAACATGTTTCTCAGTTGCAAGCTACACTAAATGCTTAGCCAAGTATTTTATCTTTTGGTAAATGATGTGTCATTTTAAGTACATATGTGTTCATGATAGTTATATTTCCGTGCTCTAAGTTCCCTTATACCTGTATATATAGTATTAGAAATATGGTATTTTGTTACCGTAAATTCTATTTTGTCAGTTATTAATCCACTCACCCCAGCTTTATTTTGACCTATGATGGGCTCATCTATCTTTTTTCATTCTTCTCTTTTTCTGTGTCTTTTGTTTTAAGTGTGTCTGATGAAGATTACAGCCCGGCCGGTGTGGCTCAGGAGCTGAGCGTTGACCCACACACCAAGAGGTGGCCAGTTCGATTCCTGGTCGGGGCACATGCCCAGGTTGTGGGCCCGATCTCCGGGGGGAGGCATGCAGGAGGCAGCCAGTCAGTGTTCTCGCTCATTGATGTTTCCGTCTCACTCTCCCTCTCCCTTCCTCTCTCTCTAAAATCAATAAAGAAAAAAAAATTTTTTTTTAAGATTATATATTCTTGGAACTTGTTCTCTTAATCCAATCAATTTTGATTGATGAGCTTAAATACTCTGTATTTCTTTTATATTTATATATATTTCAACCACCTTATTTCATATTTTCTACTTATTGTTTTATTTTTTTGTTTTTTCTCTTCCATGATTTCACAAGAGACAGTAAAATACCCCGATGAACAGCTGATTTGAAGACAGAACTCCTGCATTGGAACCCTACCCACAAGGCCATGTTTTTCTATCTCCAACAGACTGCAGGGACTCATGCTAGACCCCAGAGCCAAAGGTACATTGACTTCAGACCGTTTCTCTCCAGCCACAATTTTATAACCGGTATGTCTTTTTCGTTGTGCCACTACTTTAAGGGCAGCGAGTTCCTTTATCTGAGGGAAATATATAGGCAAATTCATGAAGGGTAGATACTTACAAAAATTGAAGTAAATTAGCATGTCCATCAGAGGAGGGAAAATGTGTTCCATTAACGATTTACTAGTGAAGCTGTTGTACTGCGCGGCGATTTTCCTTCTGAGGGTGTCACAGCGTTGTGGGACACACCTGCACCATGTGGAGAGACAAGCATGCATGCAAAATCAGTCCAGGCTTCGTCTCGGTTTGTTTTCGCCTCTTACGGTCCAAATCAAATTTCAGAAACGAACCCAGGGAATGACAGGTTTCTTGGCATTTAAGTATCCTCAGAACTATATGTAATTAGGGCAGATCAAGACTGGGCAGGCAGCAAGGGAGACACAGGTGAGGAAAGCACCAGGGCAGAGCCCCAGCCAGCTGCTGGCAAAGCCCCGCGGGGACAGGACAGGAGGGGAGGGAACACGTGCACCAGAGCCAGGCTTGTTCCCTCACCGTAGCCCCACGGAAGGGCCCCGATGTCATCAGGGATTCAACGTAACAGCTGCCACAGGGTTTAATTATATCATAATTCAGTGCTATTATTATTAGTCTAAAGTGTTATGCAAATAATCATCAGATCACCACTCTTCTGACTCGGTCTCAGAAAGAAATGAGCCAATAAGAGAAACCCCCCCACTGCTGCTGGGACACCCCTGGTGAGAAGGACCATGAGGAGCAGGGTGGGGAGTGAGACAGGACCTGGAGGTTGGCTACAGCAGGGCTGGGGCCAGTCAGGGGGCGTAGAGTGGGGTTGTGCACATGTTGTTTATCCTACTGTTGCCTGTAACACAAGCCACTGGGAGCCATCAGCAGACACGTTATGATCTGTCCACCATGAGGGGTCGCTAATGCCACTCTGTCTCTAGCCACCTCTCTCATGAGGGTTGGATGTCTCTTACCTTTGAGAAGTGAAGCATACAGGTGGCCAGTGTCAACACCTCCTGCTTCCAGTTTTTGTCCACATCATCTATTAAATCAATCCCTTTCCCTGTTGTGAGCGGTCAATGTAAAGACCGCTCCATGTAATCAACTGGTGAGGCTGGGGGCTGAAAAGCATGTTTGATTCATTGTTTTCCCTGCCTTGATTCCTCTGCTAGAACAGAGGCAGTTTAGAAGGTAACTGTTAAGCCCTGGCCGGTTTGGCTCAGTGGTTGAAGCGTCAGCCCACATGGATCAGAGAGTCCCAGGTTCAGTTCCCGCTAAGGGCACGTATCTCAGTTGCAGTTTGTCCCCGGCCCCGGTTGGGGTTGTGTGGGTGGCAGCCACTCGATGTGTTTCTCTCACATCGATGTTTTTCTCTCGCTCTCTTCCTTCCACTCTATTTGAAGATAAATGCAAAAATGTCCTCGGGTGAGGATAAAAATTTTTTAAAAAGGCCCTGGCCAGTTTGGCTCAGCGGTTAGAGCATTGGCCTGCGGTCCAGAGAGACCCGGGTTCCGTTCCCGTTAAGGGCGCGTACCTCAGTTGCACTTTGTCCCCAGCCCTGGTTGGTCGTGTGGGTGGCAGCCATTCGATGTGTCCCTTTCACGTCAATGTTTCTCTCTCTCTCTCTTCCTCTCTCTCCCTCCCACTCTATCTGAACAAAAAATGGAAAAATGTCCTCGGGTGAGGATAAAAAAAAAAGAAGGTAACTGTTAATACCTGTACTTTGCAAATGAGAAGACTGACAGGTTAAGTCATCTTCCCAATGTCACACAACCAGTGAATGGCAAAGCCACATGTATCCAGGTCTGTCTGACCTCAGAGTTCTGAGATGGTCTCCAGGGAGCTGTCATAATCCTGGCGAGTTCATCTTGCTGCCCAGGCAAGACAGAAATGAACCCCAGAGACAAGGCTGAACTCTGGCAAAACTCAGCGCTTAGAGAAGTCTGTTTCAGGACCCCCTTCTCCCTGTCTGGACCCTTGTCCACTCCCTTCCTCCTCCCACTGTCTCCTCACTTCCTGCTCTTAAAATCACAGCAAACTTCTGATACCAAAGTACCAAAGAAAGACCTCTAAAAAAAATTTCCCTCAAGTATTCATAACTTTAAAGTCAGAGCACTTTTAAGTTTGGAAGAGGCATGAAGGAAGAAGATCGTGAATCTCTGATGAATTTCCAGCAATTCTGCAGGGAGTGGAAAAGATCGGTGGGCTAAGGGTAATGAATAGCTCTTCAAATACATCAGACATGGGCAACTGCCTACTCCTGAAATCGGCAAGAAAGAAATAAAAATGACCGTTGCATAATACCTTAAGACAGCCTCCATGAAGGTGGTAGGAAGGAGAGGGCACTGTTGTTCTGATTTTAGAGACAAGACATCAAAACCCAGAGTAGCCACTTTGAGCCACAGATCAAGCCAAAATGGGCAGAAGTGAACACAATCTAAATCCGTATGCTTCCTTCCAGTTGGCCGGCCCCGGCTTTCATTCTCCTGACTCTCTGAACTGAGGCTACCCCGCCTGTTAGGCTCCTGCAAAGGTATCTTTTGAAAGTAGCAGGGTGCTTGGGAGGCAGAGGCAGTGGAAAGAAATAGGTTCCTGTTTTTAAAGAATAATTCATACAGGACCCTTCTCCGAAATAGCTCAAGGCACTTCTGTGAGAAGAGAACAGAGTGACTGGACCCTTTGGAGCATGCACAGCGGCTTCTTTTAACTAGCGGATTGTCACTTTGACTTCCCCTCGATCAGTAGGGGATCAAAAGTCACCAGTGGAGAATAGGCCTTATTTGAGCAGAGGATGCAGGCTCCCTGCTAATGACCAGCCACATCAGACAGCCGCCTCGATGCTCTGGTGTTCCTTCGCCTGCCCTTTGATCAGATGTGGCTGTAACTGCGCAGCATCCCACAGGGACACAGGACCTAACCAGAAGATTCTTACTGGAGAAACCTGGTGGAGCCTGAGCTGCTACAAGGCAAATCATTCATGCTTCTAGCTCAGAGGTGTCTGCAAACCAGCTTTGGGACATCCAAATCTAACCACGTTTGGCGAGACGATTCCAAACATTAAGACAGGCTGCACATCCACCATCTGTGCCCATTCGTTCACCCAACAGTCACCAAGCAGCAAGTCACATCTGCGTCCTCCTTTCTTCTTTACTCCCAACCAAATCTCCCTCCCTTCACATCCACGCAAGGGTCTCTTCTCTGTCAAAGCCTCTCTGGACAGATCTTCCCATGGTGACCTTCTCTTTTCATCCTTCCCACTAATTATAATCAGGGCCTCAGTTTGACCCTTAGGTGTCATCTGATTGTTTTCTCATCATTATCCCCGTCTTCTCAACTCTATGCCGGGCCCAAGGCAATAAGAACCACATTGCATATAATGCTTCTTTGATACCCCAGTCTGTCCAGTCCAGGGCTGAGCTCCATAAAGATGTGTTGAGCGACAGGAGGAAACTGAAGGAAAAGGCGCACAGCAAGCCCTCTGTGGTGTATGCTGACCTACACTCACCTGGGTCCAAGAGACAAAAGGGATGCTATGTATTGGTCTGGAACTCAGCTTCAACACATGTTAAATTAGATCTGTGATTTTCTGCTTGGACAAAGGAATGCACTGCTAGTATTTTATTCCTTCTGGAAGCATCTCTTGAGACTTCATTTTTAGTAAGTAGTAAGGCAAGTAGTAGAGGGTCCCCAACTCCCCATCTCCCATTCCATTATCAGCAAAGTGACTTGTTCTCTAAAAGCATGAACTGCAGCTTTGATTCTCTGACACATCAATGTTAACTAACCAGCCATCAGCTCTACAGAAAGCACAAAGGAGAGTCAGTCAACGCCATCTTTCCCAGAACAACTGGCCATGTCAGGGAGGCAAGGCCTGTGAACGTGAAATTTGAAAAGCGCTGTCAGTCAGGGTATTCTGACTGGTGTTCAGATCCAACACCGCAGGGGCACGTGGGCCTGCAGCCTGCACTGCTGGGCCAGGGACAGCTGCTCTCTGCCCCCTGCCCTGAGCTACACAAGGAATAGAAGACAGAAGATCAGTGTTTGTCTTCCCCACTCAGTCATTCCAAAGTGAAGTCTCCTTTGTCTGGATGTGAGTCTTGGATATTTCGTAATGAGCAAAAATTAAACAAAAACAGAGATAAATAAAAATGCCAATACCTTCCAATACCAACAAAACAAAACAAGATACCCAAGTTCCTGGGCCCAGGATCTCCAACCAACACCTGGCTGCAATGCAGACTAAACTGGTAATACTTTGCTGGGGGATTCGGGTAGTTTAAGATTACTGTTTAAGCCAAGGATTCAAGGTGGCAAAGAAAATAAAAATGCATCGACATAGACATTTCAGATTTAAAGGATGTCAAAACTTAGCACAGGTGGCGCCAGATTATGGTTTCGATGTACTATTCATCTTCAGCATTGTGGAGGGGTGTTTGTTCTTTAAACACATGCCAGAGAGCCTGGCAGGTGTGGCTCAGTGGTTGGAGTGTCGGCCCGCAGTCCAGAGAGACCGGGGTTTGGTTCCCGCTAAGGGCACGTACCTCAGTTGCGGTTTGTCCCCAGCCCCGCTTGGGGTCATGTGGATGGGGGCCGGTCGGTGTGTCTCTCTCACATAGATATTTCTCTCTCTTTTCCTCCCTCTCTCCCTTCCACTCTATCTGAAGATGAATGCAAAAAATGTCCTTGGGTGAGGATAAAAAAAAAAAAAAGATAAACACATGCCAGACAGCCTGGTAGGTGTGGCTCGGGGGTTGAGCGTAGCCCCATGCACCAAGAGGTCACCAGTTCGATTCCTGGCCAGGGCACATGCCCAGGTTGTGGGCCCAATCCCCAGTGGGGGACATGCAGGAGGCGGCCAATCAATATTCTCTCTCATCGATGTTTCTGTCTCTCTCTACCTCTCTCTAAAATCAATAAAGAAAATAAAATTAAATACATGCCAGACAGTTCACACTCAGGGAGCCAGCTGGCTTTCCCTCTATTTCCATCCACCATAGAAGCCCTTGACCTAAGATGATGCCATCCATGACTACAACATAGATTTTTTTTTTTTTTTTATCCTCACCCGAGGACATTTTACCATTTTTTGTTCAGGTAGAGTGGGAGGGAGAGAGAGGAACAGAGAGAGAGAGAGAAACATCGACGTGAGAGAAACACATCGAGTGGCTGCCACCCACACAACCCAACCAGAGCCGGGGACAAACTGCAACCGAGGTACGTGCCCTTAGCGGGAACCGAACCCGGGTCTCTTCAGGACCGCAGGCCAACGCTCTAACCGCTGAGCCAAACCGGCCAGGGCACAACATAGATTATTAATTTATCTATTATTATTTTTAAGTCCACCCTGCATTAGTCAAGGCAGGCAAGAGATGGCAACCTGAACCATCTTTCTGGAATCTCTATTTCAGAAGCCCCAAAGGGATATAAGTTCTAAGGAATCAAACCCAGGAATCTCCCCGACCAGGGTAGGGTCTGGGCTGAGGATAAGGTGTCATCCAAGAGCCCTGGGGCTCACACGGCTCTGGAGCATCTGAAGGGCGCCCTCCGTCCGCCCCAGGAGTCACGGCGCCTGTCCTCCAGTCCTGAGGCGCCGATGCTCCCCGTCACCGCTCTGGGCTTGCTCCCCCCTTGCCCTCGCCCTGGGCCCACCCCTGAGCAGCCCGAGCTGTCCCTGCGCCCCCGAGGTGGACAGGTCAGGACGCAGGGCCGCGGGCGGCGCGCACTCACCGCACGTTCCTCACGACCATGTCCCACCAGGCGGCCACACAGTCCTCCTCGTCCGCGTCCATCGCGCACCGTGTGCCGCGCACCGTCACCGCGGGAGCTGGTGCCGGAGCCACGGGCCGCACCCCGCCCGCCCCCGCGTGTGCAGCCCGCCCTCCAGCCCCGTGCCAGGCGCACCCCGCAGGGCGGCAACCGCGGGGCTCGCGGGCTGGGGAGGCGAGGGTGGCCCGACCCACCGCGGGAGCAGCCGCGGCCTGAGAGGGGCTTCGGGGCTCCTGGAGGGGCACCACGGACGGACACCGGGCATCACGCAACAGGCTTGCCGTGCTTGTGATGAGCTGTGCACAACTTACTCTGTTTTCCTTTATACATCTGTATGTGTGCGCGCCCTTTCTCACTACGGCAGTAATAAAACTTGGATGTTCATACCTGTGGAAGATCATGAAGAATATAAGCTTTCTTCTACTTCGACCCCTCTTTTATTCTCTTCCTCCCTTTTGTGTTTTCTCTTTTCTGAAGCATCCCCATCCCCCTCTCTCTTCTCTCTTTCTCTCCCCCCCCCCCACACACACACCTGTCATCATAACTGTACAAGGAATTCCTTATTCCCTTCAGTTGAGTAATGGTTTATCTGTCCAAGAATTCTGAACTGCACAATTATACAATGTGTCCAAAATGAACACCTTTTTGGTATTTTGTTTCTTGAGCAGCTTAACCCTTGCATCAGGAGTTCACACCTAGAAAGGTTTGGCAGGGTTCAGGTTCCCAGAATGCAGGGTCACCTAGGAGTGAGAACGACCCTCAGCACAGCTGCCCCAGGAGCGCCACGAGGCAAAGTGGGGGGGGATGTGGACCAGAGGGAATGGGGTTCCGCTGGGAAGCAATTTGATGCCAGCATCAAGTCTTCATACTGGAGGCAAGCTGCAGCCTCTCCAGAGGGAAAATGTGAGGTTTCCTGGTGCCTGTGCTGTTTGGCTTTGCCCTCTGGGCAGAGGACACAGCAGGGGACTGCCAACCCACAGAGAGCACACAGGGACCCATCTGTGTGGAGTGAGGAGGCCAGTCTGGAGGAAAGCAACACACTTTCCAGAAAAAGCCAGTCCTCTTCAAGGACTAGGCCATTTCATACAACTGGTCAGGCAAGGGGGATTTCTGGTCACTGCCTCTGGTAATTGCTCTGGGAATGTCAACTTTCTGATTCACATCAAGATAGAAGAGGAATCGGAACAGGAAGGACCAAGGGGACGTAAGCCTGCCTGATGAGCCAGCTGCAGGTGGGTTTTCACAGGGCCACACCCATATGATGAGAGAGGTAAGTCCAGCTTCACCAGGTGTCAGATTCCACCCCTGCAGGTGTTTATAAAGTGGACCTGGAATCTTGGGGATGCTCTGGATAAGACCCTGGGCCAGTGGGTGGGGGAGGAGAGAGCAGCAGCTGTATTTGGTCTCAGATTCTACCTCCATCTGTTTATTCAGGTTGAGAGGGTAGAGGTTCACATGATGGTTCAGCGAACAAACTTGTAAGCCCAGAGTCTAAGAAAATGTTTGAAATGCTCAGCAAAATCTCTGAAGTTGAAAATCACTACAGGCAAGTTAAAAGTCTAGGAGCAAGCTTTTCCCAACATTAATAGCTCCTTTTCAAATGGCACATCCTGGAAACCAGAGACCAGAGTCCCTGATATGATGTGGCAGAATCTCAACCCAGGTGATGCATTCATTTATGCAGCATCTATTTGCAGAGCAACGTTTAGGTGGCCGGCACCAAGACGGGCGCCTGCGGGATACAAAGCCAGATCCTGCCTGATGAGAGATTTACAGCAGGATAAATCATGGAAACACAAATAGAAATTAAAGAGTACCCTAAGGGTGGAAATCAGATTGGGGTACAGGGCCTGGGTGTGAGGAGAAGGGACATGGGGGAACATTTTAGGATGATAGAAATAGTCATTATCTTAAGTGGGCTGGAGGATACGTGACTTAAATTTTCACCAAAATTCACAGAATTAGAAACCCTCCAAGGGTGAATTTGACTAAATATGAATTATACCTCAACAAGCTTGACTTTTGGAAACGTGATCTAGCAAATAAACAGGTAACTATATAAACAAACATATCCTATCTTATAGAAATGTCAAGACAAATTTCCACATGAGTACAAATGTGTCAGAAACCAAAAGCTTGATGTTATTTGCACCTTAAGTAGAAAAGGAAGTCTTTTTATTATTATTATTATTTTATCTTCACTGGAGGACATTTCTCCATTTGTTGTTGTTGTTGTTCAGATAAAGTGGGAAGGAGAGAGAGGAAGAGAGAGAGAGAAACATCGACATGAAAGGGACACATCGAGTGGCTACCACCCGCACAACCAACCAGGTCAGGGACAAACTGCAACCGAGGTACACGCCCTTAGCGGGAACCCAACTAGGGTCTCTCTGGACTGCAGGCCAACGCTCTAACCACTGAGCCAAACCAGCCAGGGCAAGGAAGTCTTTTTTTAAAAAAAAAAAATTCTCTTAATTTTTTAGAGAGAGAAGAAGAGAGAGGGAGAGAGAGATAGAAACATCAATGAGAGAGAACATCGATTGGCTGCCTCCTGCATGCTCCCCACTGGGGACCGGGCCCACAACTTGGGCATGTGCCCTGACCGGGAATCGAACCAGTGACCTCCTGGTCGAAGCTCAACCACTGAGCCACACCAGCCAGGTGAAAAAGAAGTCTTGATTAAAGATATATTAATTTTACCACCTAAAATTATTCTGGAAGAAAGGAGTGAGGGATAAGAGTGGCTGTCTCTCAGCTGCCACACAGCTGGGGGGTAAATAAAGCATTTGAGGGGTGAAGAAGAGCAAACAAGTCACTGATTTTTTACTATTTGAAGAAAATTTTATTTGGGGAGTATTCATCCCCCTTGCATTTTCTCCTCTTTTTAAATAATGGCTTTATTAAGACATAGTTCACATATCACAAAAAGTATATGATTCAGGCCTGGCTGGGTGGTTCAGTTAGCTGCATTGTTGTCCTATATACCAAAAGGTTGAGGGTTTGATTCCTGGTCAGGGCACATACCTAGGTTGTGGGTTCGGTCCTGATTGATGTTTCTCTCACATTGATGTCTCTCTCCCCACCCCACCCCCCTTCTCTGAAAATCAATAAAAATCTATCCTCGGGTGAGGATGAATAATACATAAAGTGTGTGATTCAGTAGTTTTAGGGTATTCACAGAGTTGTGCATCTGTCACCACTATTGAATTTTGAACACTTCATCACCCCGAAAGGGAGCCCCATACCCCTTGCTGAGTCACGGGGTGATTATGTGTGTAATTTTTTGAGGGGCTGCCCCACTGCGCACCCCAGCAGCCCGAGCACTGTGGAAACTCCAGCTTTGCGTCTCCCTGGCTCGTCTTCTCACGCTTTCTCAGCTTTTCGTACAGACAGGGAACTTCTCAAGCCGATGCCACTGAGATTGAGTGAAACATTAAAGGGGGGTTGAGCAGGTTACAGATGAGGGGGAGCACGTAAGGTGACTTTGTTCTCTGCTGTGGAGGCTTTGTATTGTCTTTGCTTATATTAGACCTAATTGAAGACAATTCATTGTAGTTACAAGACTGGATATCGGATATTCTCGGGTGCCTGAACATGACAGTGTTAGTATGGGCTTCCTTTCTCCTTCCTGGAGAGGGAGAAAGGGTGATGAGAGAGTTGAACCTGGAAGTGCTTGTGACTGCCTTTCCTCCAGAGAACTCCGCACGTGCAGGCGTGGCCACGGGCTCCCTTGTTCCACGGAGGAGACCGCTTCGGTTCTTCTCTCTTTCAGTGGAAGGATGGAGCCAGAATTAAAGCCCAAGGGTTAAAACTCCTCCTCCTGGCCCAGACAGTTTTGCTCAGTGGTTAGAGCGTCTGCCCGCAGACTGGAGAGTCCCGGGTTCGGTTCCCGCTAAGGGCATGTACCTCGGTTGCAGTTTGTCCTCGGTCCCGGTTGGGGTCGTGTGGGTGGCAACCACTCGATGTGTCTCTCTCACCTCAATGTTTCTCTCTCTTTCTTCCTCCCCCTCTCCCTCTCGCTCTATCTGAAGATAAATGCAAGAATGTCCTCAAGTGAGGATTAAAAAATAATTCCTCTTCCTCTGCATGCTCCTTTTCAAATGCCCTTGGCCCTTCCTGAAAAAATAGTTGTTCCGCAGGCTTCCTTCCTAGCCCTGCTTCACTTCTTTTGTTTTATCAGTGTTTCCAACCCATGTTCAATTATTTGGGGAACTGTGGGCTAAACACAGTAAAATATGTCCTTTTGGCCAGGGTCTCATGTCTCACACTAAATTCGCCTCCTCTTCCCCTTCCTCCAAACCTGTCTCACCGGCAGGCTCCCCAGTCTTGAAGAACAGCATCATCAGGCACAAGTGTCTCAAACCACAAACTTGGGGTTCACTCTTGATCTTTCTACTTCCCTTCAGTCCTGAATTCCCTTTAGGTAGAATTATGACTATTTCTTGATATGATTTCTTTACTTAATAAATATTTACTGAGCACATTTTATATAGTATCTGGCTTGAGAAGCTTATACTCTAATTGAAAGGATGGAACCTACAGAGATGAAAAGCTAAATAACAACCTGAGATGTATCAACAGATACTAAATAAATGTGTATTGCAGATGCTATAATGCTGCAGTCTCAGTGAGAAACATCTCTGTGGGCTGAAGAGGTCAGGCAAGGAGCCCAGGGAAGTACTGTTCTGTTGCTTAGAAACAGCACTGGAGATGGGACATCATTTTAAATGGCTGTGATACATAGAATGTTAAAACCAGGAAATACAGAAGCAAGCAATCATTTGCCAATGCTCTCCATTTACATAGAGGACACTGAGACCCAGAGAGACCAAATGATGGATGATAAGCTGCATTCATACAGTATTTACTGGGTGCCCACTGCAAAGCACAGGGGCTGCACTATTCACAAGAGCAGGCAAGGTGAGACTGTTCTCAAAGGACACTGGGTATCTAGTGACAAACTAACCTGTGTCCACCGTCCCGGGGCAGGGCTCTGACGGTAACGTGGTAGGATCAACTGGTAGTTGTAAACT